AGACCCCAAAGCTCCTGAACAACTCCTACTTTGGACTCGCATCAGCATCCTTCAGAGCAGAGCAGCCACTAATCTGTCTGCTGTAGCGTTTTCATGGCTATTTGGTAGCAATGAAGAACAACATGGTGGAAAACAGCCGTGCTGTGCTCCTTTGAGGTTACCTGTGGTGTATAAATGCATGCAACTACTGAACGAATCAAAGCAAACTGGCTTTTCAGGCCGACCGTGTGGCTCAACGATGAGAAGAAGAAATTACAGCTCATAAAACTGGAATGACAGTCAAACTTGGATCTGCAGACTTCTGCTTCAGTGACACATGCCCGACGCTTGTCAACTGGGAGGTAGTGAAATCCAGAGTAGTTTAGGACACAGCAAACGTTCTGCACCAACTTGCAATAAGAGTGTTTGTGGCAGGTGTTTCTTCGTTGGTTAGCTCTTGTTGAGGTGGAGTTTGCGGCCAAAGTACTCGGGCGCCGCGTCCAGCAGCCAGTCGGCATCGACCAAACAGAGGTCTCTCATGTAGCAGCGGGAGGTGTGCAGCAGCTCGTTGAAGACGACGTACGCTGGCTTGGCCTGGAAAAGGACGGAGGACGGGTGGATGGCCACGGGCTGGTGGGTGTCTAGAGCCAAGTAGCTGCCGTCGGGCTGCAGCTCCGCAGCGTTGACAAACATCCCGTGGGCAAGGCAGCGGCGAACGCTCGCCGTGTCTGCTCCACACGATTCCAGTTTCAGGTTCAGCTGGGAAAACAAGACGTGACTTATTAGACCGGTCACATGAGTTCACCGCAGAGACAGGTGCAGCAGAGATCAAGGCAGGAAAACTCGCTGTTTTCCAAACAGCCCTGCAGGCGTTAGCCTGTAACATGATGCACATTCGTAATATTGACACATTAGATGTTAATAAATAAACAGTGATTGCTGGGAGAATCTGTGCTGGCAGAGGTTACAGATGTACCTTAAGGCAGATTTCTTTGAGCTGTGCCTGGACGTCTTTCACGAGGCCCATGTTCCTGCTGTTGACGAAGTTCTCCCGACACCACTCCTGCAGCAGAGATCACGTCACAGCTCAGCAGCTCGACTTCATCGATGTATTTTCATTAGCTGTGTTCATCACACCCACCTTGTTACCGCTGACTTTCTTGAACGCTCTGTAAATGCTCAGCAGTGTCATGTGGTCTCCTTCACTGGACATGAACTTCTTGCGCACTGCGAGCACCTCGTCCCGCCGGGCCGGCGGGTTGTACAGCACGGTGTCCACGGACAGCAGCGACACGATGGTCAAAATCTCCTCAGAGCACGAGTAGTCCGGGGACAGCAGGATGGTCTGGTGTGGAGCAAACACAAATCTGCTTGTGAGCTGACACTTTGACTAAAGTACAAAGAATAGCAGAGCAGAGGGATTTACTTTGGCATATCTGGGCTCCAGAGGGAAGCTTGCCATCTTCTTTCCCAGAGTGGTGAGGAAAACCTGCCCGTCCTTCTTCTCCACAGCTCCCAGCAGCTCCAAATGATCCACAGCAGAACGGATGGCCTCTGTGGAAAACACAAAGCACTGCTACAGCGAACTCTGCATCGCTTACCCGAGGGGGTTCCTGACTGCATCTTACCTGGAGACGGTTTGGACATGAAATCAAAATTTGTCACGTCTGGAATCCCCAGAGCCATGAGCTGCAGCATCACACCTGCCAAGTTACACCTGAGGGTGAGAAGCATCACACACAGAGCTAAATCACTGAGACACTGAGGTGGATTTTACTATCACGCGTGGAAAGCTGACTCCACACCTACCTCTGAATCTCAGGAACAGTCGTGGGGACGAGGTTGTCAAATTCCTGCTCGGTGTAAAGACGATAGCAGAAGCCGGAGTCCTCCCTGCCGGCCCGGCCTGCTCGCTGCCACGCCTGCGCTTTGGAAACACGCTGCACCGCCAACACCTCCAGGCCGCTGTCTGAGAGTCACATCACGTGTGCTGTTAGGAGAACATCTTATCTGTGCCGTTCAATGTAGGATCACGGGGGGGGGGAGCCACAGGGGCAGCAGCCCGACCGAGGGACCAGAACAACTCAGAAGAAGCCCATCGAGGGAACAGTTCACCCTGCCAGATGTAGGCTGCCGGGGGATTCCCATGATGCATTGAGTTTTTCCTTTCCAGTCACCTTTCTCACTCACTATGTGTTAACAGACCTCTCTGTATTGAATCATATCTGTTATTAATCTCTGTCTCTCTTCCACAGCATGTCTTTATCCTGTCTTCCTTCTCTCACCCCAACCAATCACAGCAGATGGCCCCGCTCCTCCCTGAGCCTGGTTCTGCTGGAGGTTTCTTCCTGTTAAAAGGGAGTTTTTCCTTCCCACTGTCGCCAAAGTGCTGCTCATAGGGGGTCATATGATTGTTGGGTTTTTCTCTGTATCTATGAAGCGCCTTGAGGCGACTTTTGTTGTGATTTGGCGCTATATGAATTGAATTGAATTGAATTGAATTGAATTGAATTGAATTGCCCGGGGTTACCGGGGCCCTGCCCTGGAGCCAGGCCCGGGGAGGGTGCCTGAGGGCGAGCGTCTGGAGGCTGGGCCTAAATCCACAGGGCCCGCCGGGCACAGTTCGAAAAAGGGACACGGACCCATCTTCCCGCAGGAGGCGCTGCAGGGGTCGGGTGCACCGTGTTTTCCCCCCCTTAGTATTAAATGGACTCAAGCACGAGTATTTCTCTCTGCATGATTTGTGAATTTGCAATCTGAATCTTCTCACCTGGACTGAAACGTTTGGCCTTCACCATCCCCGTGTCTATGACGTATTTGATCCCAGAGATTGTGACGGATGTCTCGGCGATGTTTGTGGAGAGAATGACTTTCCTGCAGCCCTGGAGAGAAAAAAGGTTTGCAAGACTTACAACATGATGCTGAATGTCTAAATCAGAAGATGCTGCTGAGAGCAGCAGACATGTTTGTACCTTTGGAGCTGGCAGGAAGACCCTGAGCTGCTGTGTTGGGGGCAGAGATGCATATAGTGGGATAACCACCATCGGGCCACAGCTGTCAGGCAGATGCTTGGCAATGTCCCGACACGTCCTCGCCAGCGCCTCGATCTCCTCCTGGCCCGTCATGAAGACTAAGATGTCGTGTGATGAAGGAGCCTCCTGCATGTGTGGAAACTCGTCATCACGACAGAACATATGTTTCCAATAACGATGCTGAAGAAGAGCGGTGCGTTTGTTTGGCTTCATCTAAACAGGAAACAGGAGAAACAGAAACTACCTGATGGATCTGGAAGATGGAGACCAGAGCAGCCTGCAGGTAGTCTGACTGCGGCTGTTTGGTGTAGTAGATCTGAATGGGGTGCTGCCTGCCTTCCAAGTACAGCACGGGGGACTTGTTGAAGTACTCGGAGAACAGATCCACATCCATGGTGGCCGACATCACTATGACCTGTGGAGGTTAGGACACCAGGTGCAGGCTTTAGAGCAGATGCAGCGAGGCGATTCACACGGCGTTCACTAGAAACGCTGAAGTCACAACACGTGTGAACTTTGCTCCGACCTTCAAGGGAATCTTGTTAAGCTCCTTGCGCCTGCGCTGAGCCGTCTTAACCACGCCGAAGAGCACGTCGGTGTGCACAGTGCGCTCATGAGCTTCATCCAGGACCACCACGGTGTAGCGCAGCAGCAGGGGGTCTCCGATGGCCTCGCGCAGGAGCATACCATCAGTCATGAACTTCAGCTTCGTCTCAGGGGAGGTGACATCCTCGAAACGCACCGTGTAGCCAACCTAAAAGGAAGCAACAGAAACACAGACGTCAACAACGCAGAGCATCAGCTCGAGTGTCCACAGCAGACGGGAATCCCGTTTATCGTGAGTACCAGCTTCCCCAGCTGAGTCCTCTTCTCCTCCGCCACCCTTCCTGCCAGCGAGATGGCAGCAACTCTTCGGGGCTGAGTGATGGCGATCATGCCCAGCCGCCCGATGCCAGCCTCGTACAAATACTGAGGGATCTGAGTGGTCTTCCCAGAGCCGGTCTCACCTGCCGGATCACACAGGACAGAGTTATCAGACACATACAGCAACTTTAACTCTATTTATATATTTAAGGTTTCATATTTGTGATTATCACGTGGGCAGAAATAACAGAAAAGACGTGAGCCAGACTTTCTATGGGCATAATCGTACTTACGTAGGTAGCTCCACCCACAAACCCACCACACCAACACAACATAGGCACAGTTTAAGATAAACTACAGAGTTGTTCACGTGTGTAGCAGCAGCTAGCTCAGCTGTGACTCACCTATGAGGACAGCACCGTGCAGCTGCCTCAGCTGGCTCAGCAGCTGCGGCTTCGCTTGATAGATGGGGAGCTGCTTCCTCTGGACGTCTATCGGAGTGCTCGCATTCCCCTTTCTAGGCAGCAGCATTCCAGGCTTGTTCTTATCGAGGCGGAAAAACACGGATCCCGGCTTGAATCTTTTAGCCGGAGGAGGGTCGGGGTCGTGAGGCATGTTCTGGAAAAAGTGACCGTGGGAGCGAAAGCGCCGAGGGCCCTTTTTTCAGATTGTTTCACGCCAGAAATGAAGAAAATAAAGTTGTTTTCATACTCGCTGCCAGACCAGCGAGCGGCACTGCGGATGTTTTGCTACCTCGGCAAAAAAAACCTTCCCACGTGGTCGGCGCAGAGATTTGACGTCATCGATCGAGTCAGGAATGTCGGGTTTATAGCACGTAGTAACGTACGTCCTGTACTGGCGCACAGCCCGTTCATCTCCTGAACATATTCATACATTTGCCTTTACTACACGTTATTAGGTACAGCTATTCAGCTGTCTTTTAAGGGCAGTTGGCCGGAAGCTACTGAGTTCACCTAAGTGTCTTTGAACGCAGCATGGCTGTTGGTGGCAGCATCAGCAGCTGAGAGCAAAGCATCCAGTGAGCGGCAGCTGTAGAGACTGTGACTTGATGCTGATAGAGATTTCAGAGGAAGATGGAGCCACTCCTCCCATCATAAATGATCTAGTAAGACAGGAAGTTGGCATCATGGATGTGCAGCCGACAAATCTGCGGCAGCTGTGTGATGCCATCATGCCTGTATGAACCAGCATCTCTGAGGAATGTCTCCACCTCATTGAATCTGTGCCACAGTTTATATAGCAGACACCAGTGTGACTTAAACTACAGTATAAGCAATACAAGAGTGCTCTACAAAACAGGATATATGGATATATACACACACTTTACACGTTTTAGTCCATTAACTAAACTCTAGTTTGGAGGACATGAAACAATAAATGAGATGGGAGCGATTGCAACAGTTCTTTTAACGTTACTCACTTCCTGTGGTGAAAAGCACTTTATTTCTACAGGCGCGGCGCTCCTCACTGTTTCTCAGCGTCCTTCGGTTTCTCACAGCCTGCGTTATTACTGCCACTCAAACTCTGACAGCTAGTATCACCGTAAAGGTCAGAGTAACACTAACTTTACGAGCACGAGTTTGCGTGAGATGAAAATCTGTGGATTATATAGTAAAAATGGATTAATTGATAAACAAAGACATTTATGTCATTAATAACCAGGATTGTAAGATCTTATTAACGTAGTCAGCTTATCAAAATACTCTGTAACCACGTTTTTTAGGCATTTGGGAATTTCTTTTTGAAATCACTGAGGGGCAACTGACAGATTATTGATATGTCAGGAGCTGATGGGACTGTTTTCCTGTGGGCTGAGATTCATGTGGATTCAGCCGGAGTCAGTCAGAGGAGAACTACACTCTTCCAAATTTCACCGTATAAACCTGAAATCTGTTCTCAAAACATCACCTGTGCAAAGAGAAGAACACAAACCAGATCCAGAGCCGTCCGTGTGTGGTGAAGAAACGGATACTGTGCCACGCTTATTTCTAAGTCCAAAAGTCTGTGGCCAGTCATTAAAGTCAGTATTAATATTACAACATGCAGACAGAATCATGTACAAACAGTCGGCTCTTTCTTCAGGTTGTTTTGTTGCTTTAATTAATTTATTATCAACAACAATAAAAATATGCACAAAATGAAATGTAAAAAAAGTTTTTTATTTATATATTTTTATTATATAAATATGCTTTTATTTATTCACTCCACCTAAAATTAAAAAAAATTAAATTTTCAGCTTTTTCCTTTTAAATAAATTTAAAGTGAAACAACACAAAACCCTGCAAACCACAACACAATGAAATATGAATTAATATGCAAAACAAAAAGAAGATGCATGTTCTCTGTCAGACAGGCCTGGGAGGATTTTCTGGGAGCGTGTTTTCCTGCTTGGAATTACATTCACAGGATTCAGTGCATGAATAAACTTTCTGAATCCTTTAACATCCACAAAAATCGTTGGAAATCAAGTGCGATCATTTTCAGGTCTTTATCAGCTGTTGTGTCTTGCTGGGTCACAGACTTCTGCAGAAACGTCTCATAGAGCTCTGGGTTGGTTTAGGTGGTGGAGCGAATCTTTAAATTGATGGTGATGGTGTACTGCATGATGCTGTAGATGCAGCAGCATTAGACACACTGGCACCTTCATTAATATCACACTCAGCTGGTTGTGTTTTATCCTCCCCTTACACTGACGGGTGGACAGTTCTCAGGTGCTGTGCAGGTGGTTTGTGGAGCGACTCAAGATTGCAAATCTATTTCTATCTGGAACCATTTGAATTTTATAGACAACACAACGGCCGAGTAGAGTCTGCAAGAGCAGCATATCATAAAGAATCTAAAGAGATTGGGAATTCCCATCACTGGCTCTTATAGTGATATCAGATCTCCTGATAGGAGGAAGACATCGAACTGATGTTGATTAAACATTAATTGAATGAATATTTGCTCTCTGGGCCGTGTGTGATAATGCTGTTTCAGCTGCTCCCTTATTAACAAGAGGTCGTCACAGCGAGCAGCTCCCATGTTTAAATCGGACGCACTTCCTGACGCAAGCCCAAAGGAATTTGTCTCTTTTCCCGGGAGCGAATCGTGGCTCTTGCCCCGACAAGCAAGAAAACAAGTTACCCTCTGGATGACGTTATCACACTGACTTGTTCTACATTGATGATTGCTTTGTGGAGGCTTTCTCTTTACTCTCATTAGTGCCTTCTCTCCACTGTCTTCAGATGGAGGATCATTTAAATACCCGTTTGTTGTCTTCACATCTTAGATCAGTTATTAAACACAGCTGTAAACAAACCTTCTGCCCTTCACCTTTTCTCTGTGATAACACGGTCCTTTCAAATTGTTCCTGTCATGATGTGAGATGGTGGTCATGTGGACCGCGAGGCAGACAAAGAGCTGAACATGTCAAAGAACCTTTATTTGATGCTTCACAAGCGCCTGACACAAAACAAGTCCATGAATTAATCCCAGAGCAGGTAGAAAAGCAGACACCACAACAAAGAACACATGCAAACCAAAGCCTGATACACAGGTGCCTAATGTGTGTGTGTGTGTGTGTGTGTG